GAGTGCCATGGTTGCATGCCAACTCCGTCACTATAGTCATGGCACATGAGTGATGGCATGATAGCACAAACAGACCTAGGACCGGGCTGTATTGTTACAACCTTATGCTGTAGAACTAGTCCCACCCTCCTCCATCGAGCTCCACATTTCAGCCATGTGCTCCTGGCCTGGCTTTCACTATCAGAACCTCGTGACTAGGCTTATCCCTGTCGGGCTGGCACTGGCAGACTCTGGTTTGGAGTATGGGCCATCTAGAGACCAGGGAGTCCGGTTCATAGAGGCTGAAGGTCACCAGGCCACGCAGGTCTTAGTGTCATTTTAAATTGAGAAATTATGTGACTAAACTGAACAAAAAGAAGAAGAAACTGTATTATGAAACTAATATAAATGATATAAAATATGATGGAAAAAAGCGTTTGGAGTACTTTAAATGAAATTGTGGGCAGAAAGACTAATTAAACTCCATCTTTTGTTGAATCAGAAGGCTCATTCATCATATGACCTTTTGATATTGCCAATTATTTTAATGACTATTTCATTGGCAAAGTGGGCAAACTAAAACAGGAAATGCCTACAACAAACTGTGAGCCAACGTATTCATGCATAAAATAGATAATAATGAAAGAAAAGCATGGTAATTTTGAATTCTGTAAAGTTAGTGTGGGAGAGATGGGAAAAGTATTGTTGTCCATCAATAATGAGAAACCACCTGGTATTGACAACTTAGCTGGAAAGCTACTGAGGATGGTAGCGGACTATATTGCCACTCCTGTTTGTCATATCTTTAATCTGAGCCTGGAGAAAAAAGTGTTTGTCCTCAGCCCTGGAGGGAAGTTAAAGTCAATCCGCTACCCAAGAATGGTAAGGTGCCCTTTACTGGTTCTAACATCGACCAATCAACTTGCTGCCGGCTCTTAGCGAACTTTTAGAAAAAAATATTTGAACAGATACAATGCTATTTCTCTGTGAACAAATTAACAACACACTTTCAGCATGATTATAGAGAAGGGCACTCAACATGGACTGCACTGACATAGGGCTGTTGTGGTGACCGTATTACTGCCACACCGGCGGTCACAAGTCATGAAGGCAGTCAAATTCCACGTGACCGTTTAGTCACGGTAATTAGGCTTCTCCAAGCTCTGATGCTGCTGCTGGTCATTAGTAGCCTACCAAACTTGCTAACTGCCTGGTACTCAGCACTCTATTGTCCCTCTAATCACTCTGACATCAATGCAAATGTATCGAAAATCTAATCAAACACTTCGTGAGAGCCCATGAGCTCATGTTGCACAACATTTCTATAGGCTATGCAATTGCGCGAGAAAACAGAGTGATGGTCACAACTAAAAAGAGGAGGATCCCATCAGCTTTCTATAGGCTAGGCCTACTATTTTTATTTCTCAACTTTCCTAATATTAAGCACATTGCTTCTCTTTACAACAGGAGCATAGCCTACCTGGCTGGCATGAAAATGAACCACGGGAAAAGCGTCCTCCATTCGCTATTTAAGTGCGTAGATGACATGTATTCTTTCCCACTGCCCCTGTTTCGAGACAGGTGCATGATAATGGTCCATTCTAAATCAAAACAAATTTCACACATATATTATTTAGTATATATATAAAGACAAGATTAGATCAAGAATACTCTGAAGGGTGACAATATTAGCCTATCACTTGTGAATGATGCCCAGCTGAAGAAACAATTTTTCTAAGCCTAGCCCATAGGCCTACAGTGTCTTGCGAAAGTATTCACCCCCCTTGGCATTTTTCCTATTTTGTTGCCTTACAACCTGGAATTAAAATGGATTTTTTGATTTACACAACATGCCTACCACATTTATTGTGAAACAAACTAGAAATAAGACAAAAAAACAGAACTTGAGCATGCATAACTATTCACCCCCCCAAAGTCAATACTTTGTAGA